TTAAACATGTGATTAGCCAACATAGTTAAGTGCATATGAAAAGAATTAATTGGTTATGCATGAAATATGATATGAGAAATTATATAAAATGCATATTTGCTTTAAGTGTAAAAGAAGCACAAATGGATATTATTAATTTAATCATGTGATGATTTAGTTAATAAGTGTAAGATTTGAGATGACGGTCAACAACAACGTTGACCGATGGATAATGGATTAATTAATATCGATTGGTATTAATTAATTATACATTTACATAATTGCATGGTTTTGCATGGAATGTGATACATAAGTTTTATGTATTGCATTAGTTATGAATGGCTAAATATGATATAGACCCTATCTAGTGTGATATGTGGTAAGTCATAGGTCGGGTGGAGTACCCAAGGATCGGGCGGTTATCCTCAAAACTCGGTTATATAGGGTGGAGTACCCAAGGATCGGGCGGTTATCCTCAAAACTCGGTTATATAGGGTGGAGTACCCAAGGATCGGGCGGTTATCCTCAAAACTCGGTTATATAGGGTGGAGTACCCAAGGATCGGGCGGTTATCCTCAAAATTCGGCTATAGGGTGGAGTACCCAAGGATCGAGTGTGTATCCTCAAAACTCATAGATTACACTTAATGATCTAGGACCGGGCGGTGTCCTTATGATAATTTACTTGAACAAGGAGGAGTTCTATACACTCATAGGCATATGGGTGGGTTGGGATTCAAGTCAAGGATATTGGCTACTATTATTTTCCCAAATAAACAATGACCTACGGGTCGGGTATTTCGAAGTGTATGTATACTAATATGTATTTCGAACTTGGGAAAGGACTATACGTATATGTATCACCCTATGATTGGGTCTTATACTTGAAACGCTAGTTATTCTATATTTAGCCTGCTACTCGCTCGGTACTTGTACTGACCTCTTCGGGGGGGCCCCACCATTTTCAGGTTGAAGCTAGGGCTTGCTACCTGCACCTTTCTACGGGTGACATCAAGTCAAGGAAGACGTGGTTCGTGCTTCCTCATTTCCTTTCAAATTACTAAACATTGCTCATGGATATTTTTATTTGTTATAAACTACTTTTGGGGCTTGCATGCCCATGTTGTTGGCCGGTTGTGGCTTATGACTTACCGTTGAATATTTCCGCTATTCATTGGTTTAAATGCGATGTTGTTACGTATGTTTACTACTGAGTATGGATGGTTTATATTCTCGGACGCCTTGTGTAATTAAGTGAGGTTGACTCGCGGGTGACGTCACTTGATTATACGGCGGTTGTACACGCGCTTGGACTCCGGTCTGGGGCGTGACACACATGCACTCAACTTTGTCAAAACTTTGCTTCGAATACATGCTTACCTAGGGATGGACCAAGCCCGGTCCGGTTCCGTGTCAGGACTGGGCGGGCTTGATTTTTCTGGGGTGAAGCCCGGCACCGGCCCGGGCCCAGGACGGTTCTTTTATTTTTTTAGGTTTTCTTATTTATTCCAACCCCAAAACCTCGCCAAAACACCCTGCCCAGCCCACCTACCATAGGCCCAAAGAAAAAAAAGACCCGGACCGGACAGGCAGGTCCCTATTTCCCAAGTCCCGAAACTGCCCCCAAAAAACACCGGGTCGGTCCCGCACACTAGCGGTCTGGTTCCCAGGCCGGTCAGACTTGAGAACGATCAACGTTTCTCATTAGCATCACCGATGTTCCAACTTTAAGATGGAAATCATGATTTAGAACCAAAATAGTTTTCATCTCAAAACCATTTAATGAAAGCATGTAATCATTGTTGAAATCAACAACTTGAGATTAAGGTAATCAAGCAATATATATCTATCTCACACTACATCTTATATAAAAAAACAAAAGTTAATAATTGAATGTGAGTTATAAAGTGAACCATAATCGAACTTTGTCCATGAATTTTTAAGTATTTCCGTAAGTTGAATTTTAAAATAAAGATTATATTCACATTCTTTTTATATCGAGAGATCAATTCAAAATTCAGCCCCATAGCCAATTTTGTGATTCTAGCCCAGTAGCCCAAGAGAAAAACTACAAAACCAAGCCCATTTTCTTATTTCAGCCCAAAAGCCCAGGATCCAAAATATAAACTCATCTCCAACCCTCCCTTTCATCTTCTTGGCAGTAGATCTAGCACCTTTCACAACTCTCACTCCACCTCAGAAAGAACCATTGACATGAATTCCCACAGCTCCTCAACCTTAACCGTTGGAGCAATGTATCATCGACACATTGTACGCTTACGGCTTACCGGCCGCATCTTCCGATTATTATTTTGAAGAATCTTAGCCAAAAAAAGTGAAAAATGAACATCAACTAATCTGGAGAGATAAGTATTTTTTCACACAAATTGTGAAGTGATTTAATTAATTTCTCCGAAATAAATGCATGCAAATTAAAAATTGATTACTGTGTCATCGTTAGTATAAAATGCACGAAAATTTGTAAATCTAATTTTAATTCAATCTAGCAGAATAAAAATCCTTATTTTTTAAATCCGGACCATGTATCCACACTTTAAATTAATACATATATGTGTTATCAATTAAACCTATTTTATTTTGTTCATTGAATATAAATAGCAGCTGCATGTTTAAAATTAACCCAGTTGGATATTAAAATTATTTCTTTTCGTATTTACAAATCTATATATACTTTGAAAAAGTAATTTTGTTATTAATTGATAATAACCTTAATTATGCATTCAACTTAAGATATACACATTAATCAACATATTCCATTAAATGGATTTCAAGTATTTTTTATTTTTTCCCGTAATAGTAGTTTTCATTTATCTTAGTAAACCAATAGCACATTAATATAATTCTTTTTTTAATTATAATAATTGGGCAGTTTGAAATGCGAATTTGTAATTAAGGCTATACTTTATTAAATTTTGGATATAGCATCATCTTATACTCATAAAGTTTGTAATATAAAGTTTTTTTATTTTACAGAATTTACAAAAAAAAACCTATACCCAAAATTGGAGGGTATGAAATTAAGGACAAAGAAAGTGATCAAATGAACACTTCTTAAAATCTGTTCATTGTCCTTGAATCCAAGTTGTTGAGGTGCCATCAATTTTACTGAAAGTATACACAGATACATACACACAGTTGATTTCTAATACAGTCTATTCACATTAAAACAATGAAACTCAAAGTATACCATTTGAGAAATGGTAAACTTCAAATGTTTTTCTACTTTATAATCAATCCCACGTATAGTTTAAGTTTCACTTAATCACCTTACACATAGATATAGCAAATGCCTATACATTGCAATTGTGTTACATTTTTAGAAAATAACTGTGTTATATTTTAACTTTATCATGGATTGATGGGTGGTGGTATGTACACCTATTTTTCTCCTGTATTGTTCACTCTCGATAGCTTTCACCATTTTGTATTTTTTCAAGCAGACCTGCAATTTATTAAGCTTAAGATATGCAAAATAACCTATTTCAATGAATAGAAGGAAAAAATCTGTCAACATTCTGAATCCTAAATGGAAATTAATACTAATTTGTAAAAAAAAATCTGATATATATGTTCGTTTGTTTATTGAAATGCACCTATCATTTCAAGAAAGTGACTACAATATTTAATTGAAAACATTTATAGGACTACATAAATACACATTTGAACCAAAATCACTTATATTTAGAAAAAATACCCCTAATATTACACTTGGAAAAGTGATGGACAAAAATGTGACTTGATAGCTTTTGGTGACTATAATCATGTTCAAAGTTACTATGATGGAGTGACTATGATATAAACTTTGAACATGATAATAGTCACTAAAAGTTACCCAGTCACATTTTTGTCCCTAACTCTTGTATTAGTAATATTCTAGGAAAAACCTCATTTATTTAAGCATGCAACTACACATTAATTCTGCAAAATTATGAAGCTAAACTAACATATCTTTTTTTCTCTAGCACGTAAGCAAAATCATGGAGAATTGGAGATACATAATGTATGCAAAATAAGCTTCTTCAATTAAATATGTAATTAAATATGTAAAGAATCTAAACCTTAAACACGAATATGAACAAAAATCTATATTAAATTTTCTGAAATACATCTAATCTTTCTATAAAGTGAACCTATAGTGGAATCAATACCTCCCTATCATGGAATACAGATTCCAATCCTCGATTATGTTGTGGTAGACACGAAGCAAACGCAGACGGAATGCCCAATGCGTGTCCCAAGATGTAATATCCTTCACCAAACCATACGTTAGAGACATCTTCAAACAAAAAAAAACAATCTAAGAAAAAATTATTTGGACCGTATGAATACTTCACTTGGAAGAGAGTACTTCGATTGGGAGAGCAAAAAAACAATTAATGTGCAAAGAGTAATTCACTTGGAAACTTGGATTGAGAGAAAAAATAAATCATCCTAACAAAAAAAATCATATGTTGACAGCAGTTTTTTGTCTTGCTGGAGAGCACTTGGCAAAAGAAGCTTGAACGCAGGAGAGCACTTGGCAAAATAAGCGTGATATTTGGTTGCAAATAGTATTAAATGTGTAAAATTTGAAAAGCGTGACGATGTAGCATGCGTGTATTGAGAATTGGAGAGCCGCATCTCTCTCGTTGTGCCTTTAGTTACTCGGTTGAATCATTCTCTTTAATAATTGTTTAATTGATTTTGCCAAACTGGTTTAACTTCCCTAAGAAATGGTGTCAGCCATTCACATGTCACTCCACATTTTATACTCCGTATGTAGGTGCATCGATATGCCATAATAATTAAGTGATTAATTGGTGCCAAATCCCATCTATTTTTGATACATTTTTTCCCGCCCCATTCATGTCTTGAACCCTCCTTGAGACTTTTCTGCTTTAATATATATATAGATTTCTTAGTGCGATTTTCTTCTTTTTAATTTTCTTTTTCAGTTTCTTTTTTAACACAACTAGTATTCTCACCCGTGCGTTGCACGGCCGAAATAATTAAACTTGTATGAATTGAATTAAAAATAAGTTTGTTTAAAAATTACACATCAAATAATTTACAAAACCCAGCATAGAGACAACAAAAACATCCTATTAGTCATAATTTTACATGGAAAATTTTAAATATTTTGAAGAACTTCCTTGTACACAACATTGGTTGTTTCATTCGAGCATTCACCTTTATCATCCAAAATTAAAATTTTCAGTCCTTTGGGGTTTGTAACTCGTGAAACTGCCACATACAATTGACCATGACTGAACACTGGTTTCTTTAGCAACAAACCAACTTGCGAAAGAGATTGTCCTTGACTCTTGTTAATGGTCATAGCATAAGCAACCATGATGGGAAACTGTCTTCGCTGAAACTTAAACGGGAGCCTGATGTCAGATGGTGTTAAGGACAGTCTTGGAATAAGCACTTGTTGACCCATACTTCTACCAGTGAGAACTCTTGCTTCTAAAATATGATCACCAAGCCTCGTTATTATTAGCCTCGTACCATTGCACAAAACCATAGAATGATCTATGTTTCGAAGAAGCATCACCGGTGTACCTACTTTTAAAGTCAACTCATGATTAGGTACACCTGACACTCGGATTTTATTCAGAAATTCCGGTGAATGCAAATCTGCTAGAAGATCCACATTACAATCTGATTTACACACACTATCGGAACTGAGATAAGTTCTTGAAGGTTGAGATGTATCCAACTTCATCATGTAATCATTTATTTCATCAACAATGTTCAAAGTTGGTGCTAGGATTGCCCTATCTTTGAAGTAGCTAAAATCTTGGCTTGAGTTCAAAAACTCAGGATATGTGCTCTCAACTATTTTTGCAATGGGATCACCCAAAGTGCGCAAAATAAATTCTTCCGGAATTTGAATTGAAATAGAACCATCATTTGCACCTCCAGCTATACCATCCCCAATCGAAATGATCCATTCTGAAAATCTCTTGATAGTTTCAGAATCATTCGCATCAAATGAAGCTTGCAATCGCATGTTCTTCGTCAATCTCAAAACTTCACAACTATGCCACAAATATGAGAAATTTATGGTTGCATTCACAACATCTTGACGACTACCTTGAGGTATGACAGGTAAAACTTGGCGAAAATCTCCTCCAAAAACAATTGATTTACCTCCAAAAGGCTTAGATAAGCTATCAGGAATAGAAAACCGCATTATGTCACGCATACTTCTATCAAAAGCTTCAAAGCAAAACTTATGTAGCATAGGAGCTTCATCCCAAATGATTAGCTTGGATTTCACAATCAAATGGGCCAATGGACTCCCTTGTTTGATATTGCATGTTGAATCCTCATTCAGTGACAGTGGAATTGCAAACCGAGAATGAGCAGTACGGCCTCCTGGCAACAATAATGAAGCAATGCCACTTGAAGCCACATTCAAGACAATTTCACCTTTAGAGCGTAAAGCAGCCGAAAGGGTTCTCCAAATGAATGTTTTACCAGTACCACCATACCCATAAACAAAAAACACGCCTCCTTGACCATTATCAACAGATTCCATTATTTTATCATAAACTACACGCTGTTGATCGGTTAAGTTTCTAAAAAAAGTACCATGTTCTTCTGTTAAAGCTTCACGATCATACTGCAATTCTTCAAACATTAACCTATTTAAACCACCCAACATTGAATCTGAAGGAGGAATAGGCATGGGTGGATAGTCACGTAAGCTCTTACCCCGACCTCGCAATAGAAGCTCTAGTTCAATTAGAGTAAATTTTTCCAATTGCTCATCACTCAAAACCAACCCTAAATAAATAAATAAATAAATAAATAAATAAATAAATTACAATTTAATATAAATGATTATAAAAAGTCAAAATTCATATATATATATATATATATATATATATATATATATATATATTAAAAAAATTAAAATATTTATATGCATTTAAATTATTCAAACCTGGATGTTGATACAGCAAACGCTGTTTATGTTGAATGTCATCTGCTAGAAATTTCCAGCATTTTTTCCAAACATCGTCAGGTCTACTCAAAGATTCCGACACTAACAATATAGCAAATAAGATTCTCAGCAAAAATGCAAAAGCCCAATAACTTGCTTCAGTTATCCCATCAACATACTCCTTATCATCACTTAACAATCCTAAAGCATAGCAAGCCTCACGATAAGTTCTATAAAGAACACCCTTGATGGTTTTTAAATCATTGAAGCACGTGGCACCGCGGATATGATTGAGCAAACACCTTAAATAGTAAATCTCTCCACTTCCAGGAGGAACATAATAAATTCGCCCAATCGAAAATGCAATTTTCCTTGGGACCCACTCTCTAGTTTTTTGTTTCCACACGAATTTTTGTGGGAATTCAACATAAGTCAATCCTCGTGCTTCGGCATATTTCTTGTTTGCTTCAAACCAAGCAAGAAACATACTATCTTTGACAGTCTTACGATCCAATATTCTGTCCAATTCATCATGATCAGAAAAGATAACTGGTTGTTCGTCTGGAAAATGAAAACTCAAACGCTCAACTGCAGGGTTTTTATATTGTATTTCAAACCCAAATATGCGCCAAGATGCCTCACATGGAGAGATATACCTACAATCATAATACATCTTAATCTCATCAATTGGATTGTTAGTACCTTCTTCATTAGTGGTACTATAAAATCCTGCAGTAACCCGATCTCGACCTTTGTTTATATATTTAAATAAATACTTAATAGACCGAGATTGGTTGCACCATTCAACATTCATATGAGCTTTGTATTTCATCAATAAATATCGGTTGTGTGGCACAACAAAACGATTGTCCAAAACAATGTTATTTTTCTTCACAGTTCTTCCATTTTTCCTTCGTCTATAAACTGGATACCCATCATCATCCACTTTAGTTTCTGAACACCAAGGTTTTGGAAAATGTTTCGTACATTTCCCATTAACCATGCAAGGGGAGGATTTCACACCAGGGCCACACGGACCATGCATCATAAGTTCTTTGACAGCTTCATAATAAGATGGATCAGAGTGGAAATCAGGAATTTCAGCTGAGATTATCTTATCCACATCATTCATTGTTGGATACTTAGAATCATTTTCAAGAAAGAGCAGAATATGTGCATGTGGAAGCCCACGTTTTTGGAACTCGATAGTATATACAACTGGTCAATAAAAGAAATGTTAGTTTAACATAATAACATATATGGTTTGTAATATAAACTATATTAAAAATACCTGCTTTGACATTTCCAAATACTTTCTTTCGCCGGAAATCTTTTATCAAGCCATCGAGTTTGACTTTGAAAATTCTACTGACAATATCTGGGCGATCTTCTGGCTTCAAATTATGCACTCTCAAAAACCTTGTGATCTCCGGCCACTTTGGATTGCAAGTAAAAGTGATAAATAAATCAGGATAGCCAGCCCACCTACAAATAGCCATCGCATCTTGATAATTCTGAATCATAAATCGTGCACCTCCTGTAAATGAGGGCGGCAAAATGATCCTTTTCCCCTGAGTGCAAGGATCATTTTCTCCTCTTAAAATTGCATCACTCAAGCCCTTGTACATCTCGCATCGTAATTGCTTTTGATGAATTCTTACATATTGCAATCTCCCTGACTCAATCATGGTGTAGCCATCAACAACAAATTGCTGGAAAAGACGTTTTGTCTTCAACATACATGAATTAAGATTATCTCGTTGTTGTAATCGAAACGCAAGAAATTGCCTGATACTCACTCTTTGCCGACCACGACTTGTCACACTATTTGCATTTCCTAAAGGAATGTCCTCCCTATAGCCATCCTCACCATATGGAAACAATAAAGGGTATTGTAATCCAAAGTAAGCAGGATTGAGCTCGCTGATACGCTGTAACTTACCTGTTCTAGTCTCAACCAAAATATCTCTTTCACCAAGAGATTCATCAAAATCTCCAACCACTAAAGCTGCAACTTCATTCACAGTTGGTAAATTATATGTCCTCGCATCACCGGAGCGCTTGCCAATTAACTTTAACTTAACATTAGAGTCTTGGCTTTGATGCAATTTTTCCTTAGCCATACGAAAACTTTTCACCAAAACATTGTGCTCATTCAGCATGTCTCTCAATTGCTCAACTATATTTTGATGGAGCTGGTTATTTTGATCACTATCACTGTCATTGCAATATAATGCAACGTAAGTTAATTACTTTTATCTGCTGAAAATTAATTTATTAATTTTGACATTTTTAGAAAGAAAAAAAACTAAAGCCATAAAAAAAATCAAATACCTAACAGCCAAAAGTCTGTTCCTTATTTCATTCTCCGTATCATATATATATATATAGTTGAGCAAATTTTGGTCTCGCTCCCTCAATTGGCAGTAAACTTCCCATCAGATGGTAGTTTTGACCGTGAAGCTTAAAAATTGGTGGTGATTTCCCTTTGTTGATATTATTCTCAACTCTTCCTCCCATAGAAGTGAAAGAAAACATACTATTATAACTACGGATATTTTCAAGAAAATGACGACTTCTTTCACTCAAGCCTTGAATCAACTCCTGCAATAACATTGGAGGTGGTTTCATAGAAGGAAGTTTTACTCTTCCATGAGTACAACAAAGAGAATATTTCGGGTTTTTTATTGTAGATGTTGACTCAATTCTTTCTTCAAACCAAAAAAGTGCACCACAATGTTCACAACTATATATTGGATCACCAATATCCCAGTACTCTGTATAAAAAAAGACAAATGGATATCACGTTCAATGAACTAATGCTATTCTTAATTTAATAAAAAAAATTATGTAATATTAATCATAATCAATTGATGAAAGAATAAAAAATAATTTAACTCGACCTCTAGATGAATCAAATGTAAGATATGGAAATTCTCCATAATCAATGACAGTGTCTTCCATTCTAAAAAAAAGACAACACGTAAAATAGAAATTTTATGAAACAAAAAAAACATGGTAAAAAAATGTTACCTCTGAAACACTCAATAATTCATGTACACTCGTCAGTTTGACATTGCCACTGGATATATCCCCATCATAAATGTTTTGAGATGACATTGTGTTTGTGGCTGCACTCTCAACCTCTCGTGGTGGCAGCCTATCATGAATAAAAGTAACAAAATAAAATGAAATAGCTAAAACATTGATCACACCACTTAAAAACAGAAAAATGACCAGATAAAATACCTCGCTCTAAAAGCTGCTATTGGTTCACTATTACCATTCACAATCATTTTGGTGACATTGTGAACATTATGAGCGTAAACGCGACCTGGAAATAACATCAAAATTCAATCCTATCTCATCGCATAATGTATAAATAATTCACACAATTTTTCACACCTTCATATTTTCTGCAACGACACATTTGAAGGACTAAGATAATCTCATCAAATTGTTGCTCATGCTGGGTGTAACGATCAATTAAGTCCCCCCATAAAGTAGCAGTGATACAATTGTTTCTAGGAAAAAAAAGTCAGTACTACAACTGAATCACATTGGAACCCAAAAAAACACATGATACCAAAACAAACATCTTACATTTCATCATGCAATGGAATCTCCATCAACCTCCTACCATTTCTGTACTTAACAATACCTTTACCTACAGCCCTACCAATCACATCTACAACGAAGAACATTAGATAATACATACATATAAATCTATATGCCACTGTACACAAATAAAAAAAGCTGCCCTGCATACCAAAGGCTATATTTTCATTGAGAACTTCCTGCCCCTGGAGAAAAGCAAAGGTCGAAAAGTCATAAATCCTAGCCGGGAATTCATCCCTAGGAATTTCAAACGCTGCTGTCTTGAAGAAAAACTCCCACTTCAAGGGGTTATTAGGAGTAGTCTTGAACGTCATGTAATTTTCCTGGACCCAGAAATTCTTAATGGCATACATATGACCTTCAGCAAAAAGATATTCAAACTTTGAAATCAAACTCTTCTCAATATGAGCATGCACCCTTGTGCCCTGCACAATCATTAAAAAAAAGATTAATAACATAATTCAAATATGAAGAGAACGAAAAGCCAAAAAAATCTGCACACGTTTACCTCCTCATCATGAAAGATACATTCCAGAGACTCCTTATACTTATCATTTGCAGGCACTCTGTAAACACGAACAGCACGGACCTTAACCGCCCAAGTTGATGTACCTGGGGTGATATCCCTAATCAAACTCCACATACCAACCATTGCTTCTTCTTCAAAATAATAAAACAGCAAGGAAAGCAAATGAATTTCGATGGCAAGGCAAATGCAAGTACCTGAGTATATATATATATATATATATATATATATATATATATATATATAGGTTCAGGCGTTGGAATAAGAAGGGTTAATTGAAGGTGCGATATGTTGGAATACCAAGGGCTAATTGCCACACACAATATACTTTAATGATAACACAATTTTTTTCAATCGATGCAACAAAAGTAATGATAACACACCTGTCTGGAACTTTCCACTGCAATACTTTACTCCATGCATCCTTGGAATACGAAGAGTGCATCGCCGCACACAATAAATGAAATACTCACAATTTCACTACAAATCTACAATTTCAATTAAATCGCTGCGTCAAAAAATACAATAACACAACTGCCTAGAAACTTCAGCCGCAAACCTTTGGTTCATGAAGTTTTTGGCGGGAACTTGTGCCCCAAGAAACCTTTATAAATTCAAAGCTACCCTATCATAAATTCAAAAGGTCAAAGAAGATGTTCATAACCTCCTCAAATCTCCACACAGAAACTGGTAACAAGTCTCTTGATAGATATAATAGGAATGATAAAATAAAGAAAATATCGAAAACAATAATCCCAACTATTGTCGGTCCGCCGACAATAATCCTAACTATTGATTATTTTTGTATAATCCCAACTATATGGACCATCTTCCAATAATGGTCCATGACCAGATATTACCTCCTACAAAAAGTGATTTTTAACTAGAAATTAAGCGTAAAAATTAAAAGGTAGGATTATTTATAAGGATTACTTGCTATATTTCTTCTTATCCATTTTAAAAACTACAAGAATTTATTTATAGGGACTATTATTGGCGGAAGGTCCCTAAAGATGGGATTATTCTGAAATAATCGATACTTGGGATTATTATAGACGGATTGGCAATAATTGAGATTATTAATATCAATTTTTTCTAAAATAAATTATTTATTAAATTAATATTTGTGGCTGTATTTAGTAAACTAGGGACCGTGAATAGAATTACGCAAATCCAAACAAACTCACGTAACCAGCCCGGCGCATCAACCCAGCAGGCCCAGCTCCGCATGCAGTCCAGCAGCAACCACGGTTTCTCCCGGGTCATTGCATTCGATCTGCGCCGATCGCTTGCAGTCCGTCATCGCTTGAGCGCCGATCGCGGACAAGAGGGCATCTGTTCCAATCATAGTTTTGAATTGCCTCTCTCTTCAGTATAGCTTACTCAGCTAAAGAAAGAAAAGCAGAAGACACCGCACCGCATACACAATCGACGGCGCTTGAAGAATGCCGAGTGGCAGCATTTCCCGGCAGGGTCGAAGGATATCAGCGTTTCCACATCCATTGCAATTAGGGGCGCTTTTGATGATACTCGTACCCAATTTCTTCCCCAGCCTCTTCTCTCCGCTGGGCCGAACTTACACTTCCCTGTTTTCCGTAAGCTGATCTTTCTCTCTCTCTCCAGCTTAATCATAAAATAAGATTGGTATGAATGGTCATCTTTCAGAAGTTTTACTGCCTGCAGATTAAAGAATTATTTCTGGGGACATACTAAATCACATAAGAGCAATTGTGGGTAGTACTTTCTCAAGAAATTGTAACTGAAAGAAAAAATAAATTGGCTTAGGTCATGCTTTTAATAATAGTTGTCAATGAAGGGAAAATAAGTTAGTTTATTTTTTTATTTTAGTTCAAGATTGGGTCTTCATTCTTTTAGTTACTCTAGAAAAATAGGCTTTGTATTTCCCATTGTCTAATACAGAGTACTCTGTATTTCCGTAATACACAACGGAATAAACATGATTGGAATAAGGCTCATCATTAAGAAAAAGTATAACAAACAGGCCCATCATAATATAAACGCATCAAATAATTATTTTTTGACATTACTGTTTTTACTTATTCGTAAAGATAATTTAATATCTTTAAAATGAATAGATTTAGAAAGAATTACATATTTATGACAAAAATAAAGATTGTTTACAAAAATTTGACTAGTGAATAGAGTAGTAATGAAATCATAGTAACTTATGTTCAATTTTAAACTTAAGTTACCATGACACTACATTTAATTAGTCATATTTGTGTAAATAAGTTTTATTTTAGTAATATATTTGGAAAAACCCCATATATACAACACTATTAATGGAAGATATATGTAAAGAGAATAACAATTTTCTTCTTCTTATTTTGTGGGTACATAAAATTAATTCACGCCTCATCAGCCAATATCACACATCCCCAACCACAATTTAAAACCAAAGCTTAGATTTCAGTCAATATTTTGTCAAGGAAATGCCACAATAAGAAACATTTGATTGGCTGCCTTGAAGAAGATTCCATGATTCCATCTATACCCGTCATGGCGTCATTGTTGTGTTCTATATGAACTGTAAGGTAATTTTATTGGCCTGTAAATTGTGGTTGAAAGGTGGAATTTGTTTTTGTCATGCCTAGAAAAATAAGTTTACTTGAACTTGATTCATTTAGTTTTCTTCTTAGTTCTTCTGAGCATCAGTCTTCCAGGGAATATGTTTATGAGTTCGAGTATATAAAAGGATAAGGTGTTCGTTGACTCTAGAGGTTGATATATAAATCAATTCTTACTTGACCTATATATTTTGGAGTGAGGTAATATCATTTTTTTTACCTATTTGCAAAACCAACCAACTGATTCTTGAAGTTCATTTCTTGTTTGGATCCTTACATCTATTACCCACAATGTGGAGTTCCAGATGTTAATTGATTCATATTGCATGTAGTTCTAGATGTTAAATGATTCATTCATACTAAGAGCGTCTTTCGTAAAAATGTTATTATACAGTAATTGCATTTTCTAAACAGAGCAACTGTAGGAATGGAATGCTCCAAAGCCCATGCACTTGCATTTACTGAATGGAGCAATACAACACCACACAATTGTGAGTATATTTCTTCAGGTTCTTTTCTGTTGTTTACAGCATTGGGATTTTTTGAAAATTTATGTAAATTATGTTGATGAATCTGTTGTGTTTTGCTGACTTCTAACCCCTGAAGTCTGATGAACAAGAATCTGATATGTGGTCTCCCTTGCCTAATCAAGGGCGGAAACCCTGTGCTACAACACAGAACAAGCAACGTGAGTGTATTTGCAACTGTCTTGCTGATCTCATATCCTGTTTTTGCTTTGCCTTTGCAACCCATGGGGAACGTCCTAACTCTGTCTAATGGAACCATATATAGTTTTGCAAAGGAAGCCTCAGGCATATGTACAAGTGTTTCTTGATGGGGGCTTGAACCAACAGAGAATGGGGGTATGGATGAAACTTTCAATATAGCAATTGCACAAACACATACACAGACACACAATCCACTACTTCTGAAGATTGTTACTCTTGAGACTTGGAGCCTGTCTCATAAGTGTTATTTGGTTGGAGTGCTTGAATTTGTTGATTTTCTGAGACAAAAAGTGTTTGGTAACATCCATTTCAGCCACATAAGCTAGTCAAAAGTTACTTATTCTGCAGAATAGGCCAGATAATCAAACAGCCCTAGAATTCCTGTCCTGAAATGCAGCTGCTGGAACTCATATGGTTTTCTTATACTTCTTTATATATTGTCCATAGATTTGTGACGCGGTAGCTGTGGCCAAAATTTTAAATGCAACCCTCATAATCCCATACCTTGAAATAAATCCAGTATGGCAAGACATAAGGTTAATAATGCCTCCATTTCTAATCTTGATTTTTTTTCTCTTAAGCAGACATAGAACTTAACTTCTGTATTTAAAAAATGTATTCCCCCTTGCAGTGCATTTGAGGATATATTTGATATCAATCATTTTATCCACACATTGAGGGATGATGTCACCATAATTAAAGAGCTACCAAGTGACTTTTCTTGGAGCACCAGGGAGTACTATGCAACAGGCATACGAGACACTAGAATTAAGACAGCACCAGTGCATGCTTCTGCTACTTGGTATCTTGAAAATGTTTTGCCAGTAATGCAGAGGTTTGTTCATAAAATGTCATTTACAGCAAGTATTATACTTTTGAGCACTTTTTTGGGACAAGAATAGAAGCCTATCATCTATGTTCCATCTAAAAACATGGAATATTTTATTCTTCTAGAGCTTGATTAGAACCCAGAAAATACTGGGGGGGGGGGGATATGAAGAACAGTTTAGGGAAAATTTGGAAGGAAAGAAAATGTGGAGGGGTAAAGAGCCTATAAATTTATTATAGATATTCATCGATACCCAAGTTATGTATAAGTTATTAAGTTCAAACAAAACATAAGAAAATCATAAGAAAATAACTTTCCTTAATGTCCTCCCTCTTTCCCCATCAATTTCCAAGATTCATACATACCCTTAAGTTATGACTTGCTTCATGTTTTCCGGGCTTTGACAATGCAATTAAAGGATGACAAGCCAATAAATGTGTTGCATAAAAAAAATAGTGTTTGTGGTGCATAAAGCATGCACCGTATATCTGATTTCAAACTTCCTAGTTTTTTTAAACAAATTTCATACCTGTTTATTTTCCTATATGTTGTAGACATGGTATTGTTGCTGTAGCTCCGTTCTCTCATCGGTTAGCATTTGATGGCCTGCCTTCTGAAATCCAGCATCTGCGTTGTAAAGTCAACTTTCAGGCACTGGTTTATGTTCCACATATCAGGACTTTAGGAGATTTACTTGTCAGTCGGTTGAGAAGCAGACCTCATATCATGGATGGAACGTCAACCTCCATATTTGAAAGAGGAGACAATTACATACCCGGAGTTGGAAAATATGTCGTTTTGCATCTTCGTTTTGACAAAGTATGACCCCTGTACCTTGCTGGCTTATCATTTCTCAACCACAAAAATGGAGGTAGATAAAGGTGGTCTTAAGTAATTGTGTGTGTGCATTTGTACATCTTCTCCTTGGCTTTTGAAGAAAAGGCTATTTATTTTTTTGTCCCAGCTATTTACTGTATTCTTTTTAGTCCCTCTCGTCCTCTATGCAAAAAAAAAAATCTGGCTTGGCACAGAGAACGTCCAAAACAAAGGCCTAAAACCATTTAGGCCTTTGTGTGCCAAGCTTATGTAACTCACCGGCGACTATTTAAAACAAGGGCTAAGACTCACTATTCCCACTTTCATTTCAAGGTTGATGAAGAGAGACTAAAATGAAAGTGGTGTAAACCTACAGGGATAATGACAAAGTAAAACATTACTTTACAAGTACCCAAAACATTACATTTGCTGAGGGGGGCATATACATGGATCATATTGAATTTCATTTGGATATATTATATATACGCTGCACTTGCAAATTACAAATCAAGGGTGACCTTTTTGCAAATTGTTAGTTCACATCATAAACACCACATAACAGTATAACACTTAGGCCTATAAACATTAATGGTGTATGCTTGACTGTTTTCGAACATAACTGGATCCAAGTGCTCTCCCATAAGCTTGACTTATTCAGATTTTAGTACACTAACTTTGCTGGGTCCGTCCTTGGAACAGGATATGGCAGCTCACTCAGCTTGTGATTTCGGCGGAGGTAAAGCTGAGAAGCTTGCTCTAGCAAAATATCGCCAATTGATTTGGCAAGGAAAGGTTGTCAAATCTCAGTTCACTGATGAGGAATTAAGAAACCAAGGTCGGTGCCCATTGAGTCCTGAAGAGATTGGACTACTGTTGGCCGCCTTGGGTTTCAACAATAGTACACGCCTTTATCTTGCTTCCCACAAGGTCTGTATGTTTGTCTATTCCTCATCGCACTTTACATGTTATCACTCTCTCTTCTTGATCTTCTTTGCATATTTGGTCTGATAATCTTTTAAGTACCCAAATGGTTCGGTTGCTATGACTATTATATATTTGGTCCTCCAGTTCACTATGTTTGCCTAATATGAGGATTTTCATATCGTAATAATCAAAATGACACCAGACATCATCATTTCTGGATCACATGTTCTCCGATTTGGTCCATTTCCGCCCATCTTCTTTTTGTTTGTTTATTATTTATTTTTCTTTTTGAATAAATAGTGTAAACATCAAAATTACATACTATCCTCTGTTTCTTTTGGTCGCAACATGGAAAATTTTACACTATTTACATGCTCTACTTTGACTACATTTTATTTATTAATGTATATTGTATAATAATTATTATTTTTTGAAAAATATTGTTGATTCGTCTCAATATAAATTTTCATAATCTGATTTTTTTCTAATATAGAATTCAATATAATTGGCTATGATATCGTGGATTGATTCATGTTAGCCGGCCCCAAAACCTTTTTGGAATAAGGCTTGGAATCTTGGATGTTGTTGTTGTATGTTCTTTTATCTTTCTATCCTTTGTCTATCTTGTGTTCTTATGTTATTTTTATCTTATATTTATCTTTATTGTATCTATTTTTATCTTACCTTATCTTTTTATTTTCAAATCTTTCTTCTCTTTTTGGCTCTGATATCATTGATCAATTCATGTTAGCCGTCCACAAAATCTTTTGTGAATAAAGCTTGGATGTTGTTGTTGTTGTAGAGAAATTAAATATAATGATGGTCAAAGTTGTGCATTGGCAAGTGTGAAAATAGGAGTGTTGCAATTAAAAAAGAACGGAGGAATTATTTTTTGAATTATTGCCCACACATGCTCGATTTAATCGAAAGTGACCAAATTAAGCAATGTAGTGACATTTCTATTTTAATTTTTGCCAGAAATCCATAGATTGAGCAAATAATAATGAATTATAGGTCCAAATGTGTGAATGGTTCAAGCTACGGGACTTTTAAGGGTGCTCACTAAATATATACTCCGTAAGCATTATCTTTTTGCTTGTTTTCTTTCTTACCAGGTTTATGGGGGAGAAGCAAGGATCTCAGCACTTCGACAGTTGTTCCCACTAATGCAGGATAAAAGAAGCCTTGCATCTTCAGAGGAATTGGCTGGGGTTGAAGGAAAAGCTTCTTTATTAGCTGCTTTGGATTATCATGTGAGCTTGCACAGTGACATATTCATCTCTGCTTCTCCAGGCAACATGCACAATGCACTGGTAAGACCATTCACTCTTAAACTATTGGGTGTCAAAATGCCTCATTTGCATAGTCACTCTGTTCTCATGGATTTCATATTCTTTAAATTATGTTGTTCGGAATCAGAATTCCATAAACTCCCAGGATTTCCCAATTCCTGAAGTTGGAGGCATCAAATGCCTCCACTGCAGTACTGCTCATAGGGATTTGCTCAGTTTCCTAGAGTTGGGTGAGCTGGCTTAATTCCAAATGCGCTATTAACATAATAACATCTCCAGACATTTAATTATAACCAATTTACCACAAAATCAATACAAATAAGCCCTTGAATAATGAATATATAGGGAATGCTCTAGAGATCCTACTTTGTCTTTAAAAAGAGCATTTATATTTGGTTGCATGCCTATGAGGTCATTCACATGTTTGGTCTCTGTCATCCATTTATTTCATTATTGCTGCACGGCTTGTATTTTCTCTACTTCTGGTCTACCGCTGGATTTCTTTCCACTTTAAGTGATTTTCCATTGAAAACCAACTTGAAGTAGGCTGGATGAGTAATGTAAGTGGTAGAAATTTCATACCAGTTCATCATTAGTGGAACAAGTTAAAGTCAAGAGCAAAGTGGAAACATTTTCCTTAAAAGATTAAGTTTGAATTATGAAATTGATGTGCTTTAAGAATGTGCCTTACAAACTTCAATCAATTGATGATGTAAAAAAATCCTTAGGTGGGGCATCGTGCATTCAAGAACCTGAAGACCATCAGACCGAACATGAAACTTTTGGGCAAGCTGTTCCTAAATAAGAGCTTGGGATGGGCAGAGTTCCAGCAAGCCGTGCTGCAGGGTCACAGGAATAGACAAGGGCAACTCCAGTTCCGCAAACAAAACCAATCAATATACACTTATCCTGCTCCTGATTGTCTATGTCCAGCTCCTGCTTAAACAAAAAACAATCCCATTGAGAAGGTTTTGTTTTCCTTTGCCGGATAACACTGCTCCGAGCATTGTATATTAAAACTTTTATATGTGTGTTTGTGTATAGTTCTATGAAGTTGCAGTTGCTCTGTGGTTTTGCCTTTCAATTTAAGTATTTAACAATGTTTTCTACAAAATTTGTAGAAAGGACTCATTTTGAAGAAAGCAGTACAATTGCCTAAGGGATAGTGTTGGACCCGGGCCGGGTCGGGCCCGGGCCGGGTCAAGGCCCGGTCGGGCCTCGGGTCCTATAATGGTAGGCCCGGGACCGGCCCGGTCAATGACCGGTTCCGGTTCAGGCCGGGCCACCCGCCCGGGTCACGGGTCGGGCCGCCCGCCGGGCCGGGCCGGGCCATTAATTTTTTTTTTAATTAATTATATATTATACAAATTGCTATTAAAAACAAAGTTCAATTGCATTTATTTGAAATAAGAACTACATTTGAGAATTGAGAAAAAAATAACAATACGAAATACATTTTGTAATGAATATCAATTGGGATTTCCGCCACCGTTGGTTGTTGTTTTCCCTTTGTCACAAGACTTTAAATGTTTTATTGGCATCCCGTATCCGTATGAACGCCCCAAACAACACTCTTTCTTGCACCACCTGCAAGTTGCCCACCACAGACCGGTCTTCGGGTCCTTCCACTTGTCAAAATTGTTTTGCATAAGGGAAGATGTATTTTCCATATTTAAAATGGTATATGTATAAGTAGGAATGTAGGATAATAAGAGAAGATGAAGATGGAGAAGAGTTTGAGATGAATTGGAGAAGAGATGTAAAAAAATGTTAGAAAATAGATGTATTTATAGATGTTTTTGAACCCCACTCCCCACACCACCACCCCCGGGACCCCCCTGCCCCCCACCCATAGCCCCAACGGCTATATAGCCGTTTGGGAGGTTTGAATTAATTTTTTTTTTAAGTTATACACATATTGTAAAATAAATTAATTAATTTAATGAATTAAGTAAAACTAAAACTATTTATACTTAGAAAAGTGGTTTGATTTATAATTTACAAATGTTACAAAATAGGTGTATAAGTATTTAAACAAATTACATATTCTAAATGTATTTTTAATTTAAAAACCGGCTTTATATTTTAGAAAAATAATTTTAAGTCGTTAGATTGTAACCAATTAATTAATTTGAGAAGTGCTACATATGAAAAAGTGAACACATATTTATTTGAAATATGAAGTACAAGTTTACAAATTAATTTGAACTACAACTACAAATTTACAATTTTGAAATATGAAGTACAAGTTTACAATTTTGAAATATGGAGTACAAGTATAAATAAATTTGACAAGTGCTATAAAATACATTTTGTAATAAATTCTAAAATACTAATCAATCGGAATCTCCGGCATAGGTAGAGCCACCATCGGTTGTTGAGTCATCCATAAAATCTTGGGAGGGGGTGATGCTCAATTCTTGAGTTCTACGTGCGGCCTTCAACCAATCGTGGTAGCATATAAGCGTCTCAAGAGACTCCGCGCTCAATCTCGATCTAGATGCCGTTAGGACGTTGCCGGCCGAACTAAATTCTTGTTCCACAGCAACTGTTGAAACCGGCATTGATAGTACTTGCTTAGCCATCCGTGCTAAAATCGGGAACGTTCTTTCTTTTGACTTCCACCAGTCTAGAACGTCAAAGTCATCATTTTCTTCAAAATCAACTTCATATGTTAAATACAAAGTAATCTCATTCAATGCGCTTTGTTCAGTGACGTGAGTTGTTTTAGTTTTTTTCATAAGATTGCCAAATGCAGATTTAAAAATCGATTTTCCTTTAGATGAAGATGTTCGTGACGGGGGAGGGGGAGCGTTGCTATATTGTGCACAAAATTCATTAAATAAGGCATAAAATAAAGTACTAACCTCGTTGTATTCCGTTTTCGGATCTATGGGGTTATCGTCATACATTGGAAATTCACCGAAAAACGCAAGATAATAGAAGTTGAAACAATCTTCCAAATTAGCAAGTCTATAACGAGGATCGAGAATAAATGCAATACCATAAATATGGGGAATATGCGCATAATATTTTAAAAACTTTTCCTTCATATGATCACAAAAATAATGAACGAAAACGGCATTTTGAAATTCTTTAAAAGCATCGGCGAGATTAACAGCTTGTGGAATAAATTGGTTTGCGGTAGGTTTATAAACAAGACTAAAAGTTTTAGTAGCATTAAAAAAAATATTAAAACATTACAATTTTTTTCGCAAGTGTCGATCTCAGCCGCGTTTATAATATAGTTATCATGTTCTTTTAAAAAAGCAGGAAAATGTTCTTTATATCTAAGAACAACTTTAAGTAATTTATAAGTACTATTCCAACGAATACTCAAATCTTTAGGAAAAGCAACATATCTCACACCTCTTTCAGTCAAATAACTTTGCCATTTTAATCTAAGTTGACCATTACCCCAAATACGTCTAATCCCCCCCTTTATTACCTCCATGGAATCTCCTAACGCTTTTAAACCGTCTTGCACACATAAATTTATAACATGACATGCACAGCGTTGATGAAAAAATCTACCCATCAAAGAATTGGCACCACACAACTCACGCAATCTAGGTATAGCAGCAGTATTATTAGTAGCATTATCGAAACCAATAGCAAACACCTTATCAATCAAATTATACTCAATTAAAATACGCTCAATCAAAATATAAATATGTTCAGCGGTGTGACGCTCATTAAATTCACGAAAAGCAAGAACACGTTTATGCATATTCCAATCCTCATCAATATAATGTGCAGTCAGACCCAAATAATATAAATGATGAAAATCATCCTCCCATATGTCAGAACAAATAGTAATACGGCCATCAAAGTTTGCAAAAAAATTTTGTAACCTTACCTTTTCCGCATTATAAAGCCTTATTATTTCTTTCTTAACAGTTTTGCGACTATAATTTCTAAATTGAGGATTTAAACTACCTTGTGCATAATCTCTTAAAGCAAGACTTTCAGAAAACAAATAAGGCAAATTTTCTTCACAAATTAAGTTAGCCATACCAGTCAAATTTTGTGCATCATTGTAGGAGAAATTACCAAAAGGTTGAGAATTCGCAAACCTCGATATTTGAGTTTGCTTCCCCGTTCCGCCGCCTAATTTTGCATACTCCACGGGGTGCTTTGCCTTAAGATGCCTTGCGGCGGATCCGTATCCGCCGGAGGTTCCCAAACTATAATTGTTGTTGCACCACTTGCAAGTTGCGTGCCAATAGCCGGTTTGTGGGTCCTTCCATTTATCAAAATTATTTTTCATTAGTTCAGACTTACTTTTTTTATTACCGGTGGCGGTTTGGGATGAGGCAGGCGCGTCGGCGTCGTGGCTGCCGGCACCCTCCTCCTCGGCCGTCTCCGGTTCCAATTCCTCCGCATCTTCATCCTCAAGCTCCTCTTCGTCAATGGTCGTCGGCATTTGTTGTTGTTGTAGAAAGCGGTTATTATGTCGGGCCAATTCTTGTTGGAGTTGTTCTTCGGACATCGCATCTCCATCTCGCCTTTGGTAACCCGTTTCAAAATCATCTCGGCTTTGAGATGAAGACCCGGCAAGTTCTTTACCTTTGCGGGATTTCTTCCTCCCAATCTCGTTTCTTCGATTGCGTTGGAGGTTACCCAAATCAACCGAATATCTACCACCTTCCATCTAAAAAATGTAACAAATATTAATTCACAACAAATATAATAATGGATACAAAACTAATGCAACTAATTAAAACTATTTTAATTAATACTTCAAACTAATTTTGTGCAAAGTAGAATTAATGTGTGTCTCTACAATTAAAATTATAGCAACTTTTGAAGTAAATAACTAGTACAAGTAAAAATGTAACAACAATGCTAATTAAGTAGTTAACTTGTATAGTGACAAATGTAACAAACTAACAACTAGTTAAATAAAATGTGAAGTATTTTAATTAGTATAATGAAAAATGTAACAAGAATGCTAATTAACTAATTAACTAGTATAATGAAAAATGTTACAATAATGGTAATGAACTAATTAACTAGTATAATGAAAAATGTAACAAGAATGCTAATTAACTAATTAACTAGTATAATACTAGTTATAGTAAGTAATATATAATATAATGTTTATATTATATAATATATAAGTATACTACTATAAGATGAGTAATACACTTATATTTTATACTTTAATATATAAAATATATATTAAGTAGATGTAGAATGTATGTATTAAGTGGATAAAATAATTGTATAAGAATTAAATATTAGAGTATAATGGAGAATTGGAGATTGGAAAATAAGTATATATAAAATATAAGTAGAGAAGTAGATATTATTATGTATTAAGTATATAGTAATAGTTCATAAAGTATATTTAATAAATTAATACTTTATTATATAAAGTATATATTAAGTAGATATAGTATGTATGTATGTATTAAGAGATATAAGTAGAGATTAAGTAGATAAGAAATATAAGTAATATAGTATATGTAGATAATAATATATAAGTAGATAATTAATATATAAGTAGATATAATAATTGTATAAGTATTAAATAGTAAAATAAAATATAAAGGAGAATAAGAGAATTTGAGAAGATGAATATGGAGAATTGGAGATGAGTAGAGAGTAGGATTTAGGTAGAGTTGGAGAAGAGGTGTGAAAAAATGTTTAAAATTAGGAGTATTTATAGGTTTTTTTTTTAACCCCCACTCCCCACCCCCACCCCCCCACCCCACCCCCCACCCGAAGCCCCCTGACCCCCCCCTGGTACCACCCAACGGCTATATAGCCGTTTGGGGTGGCCGTTGAGCCAAAAGAAGCAAAAAAAAAAAAAAAAAAAAATTAAATTTGGACCGTTAGGCCCGGGCCTCCAAAACCAGGACCCGAGCCCGGTCCCGCTAACCCGACCGGGTCTGTGCCCGAACCGGACCCGGACCCGAGAACCGGGCCGGTTCCGGGCCCGCACAGTGGCGGGCCGGGCCGGTCCCGGGCCGGGCGGCCCGAACCGGGTCCACGCCTACTAAGGGATGATATTCGTATTTTCTGATTTTGTAAAACACTGAATATATTACGTACAGACTAATACTAATGTGGGATGATTAATCGATTATGCTATTGAACTCATGCAAACCAAAGTTCTATCCAATCTGTTTGGAGTAACGCTACGAGTGTATTTTCT